AATAGCTACAAAAAATAAAATACCTAGGAATAAATGTAGTCGAGGAGGTGAAAGATCTCTACAATTAAAACTATAAAACACTTTTATTTCCTGATAACAGAAATTAAAGAGGACACAAAAAACTGGAAAGACATCCCATGTTCATGAATTGGAAGAACTAATATTGTGAGAATGTCTATACTACCAAAGCAATCTATAGATTCAATGTAATCCCCATCAAAATACCAATGACATTCTTCACAGAAATAGAAAAAATAATCCTAAAATTCACATGGAGCCAAAAAAGACCCTGAATAGCCAAAGAAATCTTGAGTTGGAAAAATCACACCACCTCACCTTAAAACATACTACAAAGTTACAGTAACCAAAACATCATAGTACTGGCATAAAACCAGACACACAGATCAATGGAACAGAATTGAGAATCCAGAAATAAACCCACATACTTACAGTCAACTAATTTTCAACAAAAGCACCAAAAACATACATTATGGGAAGGACAGTAACTTCAATAAATGGTGCTGAGAAAACTGATATCCACATACAGAATGAAATGAGACTCCTAACTTTCACCATACATAAAAATTAACTCAAAATGAATTAAAGACAAGTGCAAAACCCAAAACTATGAAACTACTAGAAGAAAACATAGAGGAAATGCTGCAGGATGTTGGTCTGGGCAAAGATTTTATGGATAAGACCTCAATAGCACAGGCAACAAAAGCAAAAATAGACAAATGAGATTATATCAATCTAAAAGGCTTCTGCACAGCAAAGGAAATAACAGAGTGGAGACAACCCACAGAATGGGAGAAAATATTTGCAAACCATATATCTGATAAGTGGTTAATATCCAGAACATACAAGGAACCCAAGAAACTCAATAGCAAAAACACAATCTGATTAAAAAATAAGCAAATGATCTAAAGACATTTCTCAAAAGAAGACATACAAATGACCAACAAATATATGAAAAAGTGCTCATCACTAAGCATTGGGAAATGCAAATCAAAACTGCAACGAGATATCATTTCACCCCAGTTAGAATGGCTATTATCAAAAAGATAAAAAATAATAAATGTTGGCAAAGATGCATACAAAAAAGGAAATTCTTACACACTGTTGGTGGGAATGTAAATTAATACAGCCATTATGGAAAACCGTATGGAGGTTCCTCAAGAAATTAAAAATAAAATTACCACATCATCCACCAATCCCACTACTGGGTGTATATATATATATATATACATATATCCAAAGGAAATATATGTCAAAGAGATATTTGCATACCCATATTTGTTGCAGCAATAGTCACGATAGCCAAGGTACGGAATCAGTGTAAATGTCCATCACCAGATGAATGGAGAAAGAAAACGTGGTATGAGCGTACTTCAAAATGTTCATGGAAGAATCAAGAAAGCCTGCCCATTCACAATAGCCACCAAAAAAATAAAATACCTAGGAATTGA